TGTGTGTGTGTGTGTGGGAGGGAGGGTGTGTGTGTGTGTGTGTGTGTGTTCATTCATCTGTGTGGGTAAAAGAAGGGCTGGGAAAGCAAGTGCCAGGAAGCACCCCTGAGATCCCTCATCTGACTCAGGGTTCCTGGGGAAGGGGGATGCTTTCCCAGCTCACCTCGGATTCAGGGAGGGGCTCAATTTCCCTTCCCAGCTAGGCCACGCCCTCTTCTTGACAGATCTCTGGGATTCCAATCGCTGTCAGATGTGTCTCTACTGCTGGATTTTCCCAGCTTCCCCACACCCCCTTCTCTATCCCAGCTTCTTCCTCAGGGATATCCCCCCAGGTTAACCCTGCCCCCTCCCAGCTGCTGAAACTCCTTTGTGGGGGTAGGAGATGGTATGTTTCTAATCATCTCCTAGCTCAACTCTCCTGGGAATCCTGAGAGTGGGAAGGAGCTGGGTTCATTTGCATGTACTGGTAGCAATTTGCATCACATCCAAGAATGGCCAGAATTCTGAGGTTATCCCCAGCCCTGACTCCTGGCCGGCCTCCTACTCCTGCAATGGAACATTAGTCCTGGAGACCACTCCCTACTAGTTGGGTGGGTTAATTTCCTTTCTCCTCCAATCCCTAGTGTGGCCCAGGCCTACATGAACCAGAGGAAACTGGACCATGAGGTGAAGACCTTACAGGTCCAGGCTGCCCAGTTTGCCAAGCAGACTGGCCAGTGGATCGGAATGGTGGAGAACTTCAATCAGGCACTCAAGGTGGGCCACACCCTTAACTCACCACGCCCTGCCTGAGACCCCCATTGGCTGCCTCCAATCAGGTCACCCGGGGTTAAAGAGGAAGGCGGGATGAGACCTAGGAAAGCCCTTTCCCGAGAGTGGATGGCAAGTGCTCCCAGACACTACCTGCCCTGATGCCTGCGCTCCCACCCTCTCTCCCCTCCCCAGGAAATCGGGGATGTGGAGAACTGGGCTCGGAGCATCGAGCTGGACATGCGCACTATTGCCACGGCACTGGAGTATGTCTACAAAGGGCAGCTGCAGCCCGCCCCCTCCTAGCCCCTCTCCCCTTCCTCCACCCTGCTCCTCCTACCTCACCCATGGGGGCAGGAGGGAGGCTGACCGCACCAAAAATAAAACACAAGCCTCCATTTCTATGTCGTGTGTTTCAAAGGGCTGCGAGCTCAGTGTGTGTGTGTTTGGGGCGGGGGGTTGGGGGGTCAAAGGTTTTCCTGAGGAGACGGGTACTTTTGGGTAGAGGGTGGAACCAGCTTCCTCTTACTATCCCAGCTCTATTCAGCCTGGAGTCTGGTACAGATGCCTGTTGAGTGAGGATGGGAGTTTCCCACACCTTGGACAGGAAGGTTCTAGTGGCCCCTGCTCCAAGCTTCCCAATTCAGAACTTCAGTTTCCTGCTGAGGAGAAATGAACCAGGCAGCAGAACAGGGCCCCAGCTCTGGCTCCCTGCCTCTCCGCGTGCTCCTGGCCTCTCCCAGGCTCGTACTAAGCAGTGTCATGAGTCTAGGCCCAGGTGGGAGATTAACTCTTGGGCATGGGGCACTTCGGGGCAGGGAAGGGGGAGGAATGGCAGGTCCAGGGTCACCAGTGGAGGGGGCAGCTGCCATCCTTGACAGCTCTCTCCTCCTGGGAGACCATGACATAGGCGGTTGGGAACCCAGGCCGAGAGAAACAGCCAAGAAGGGGCCCAGGCAAGCCTGGCCTGTGCCAACCACTGGCTTTAGCCAGCCTGGCTCCTCCTCCTCAGCCCCTCCCCCAGCCAACCCCCACTCCCCACACACACATTTAATACTCCTGGTGCTGGAGGCCACCCCCTTTGGACTTTGGCAGTAGCTGTGACTGGTGTGGGAACCTCGCAAGACTGGGAGCAGAGTCTCAAAGCAAAAGAGGAAATTGCAAGCACTGCAGTACCCGACAGCTTCCCCCAGAGGAGGTAAGCAGGGTACTGGGAGTCAGGGTGCTATGAGAAGACTAGCAACATACTACAAGCTTTGAGCATTTAAGGTGCCTCCTCACACATTATCTTCTTGAATCCTCCACAACTCTGAGGCGGGCATGATGGGTGTTAGCCCCACTTGCTAGGTGAGAAAACAGGTTCAGAGACACAGTGAGATGCTCAGCATCACACACAGTAAGTTTGGGGCCACCAGGACTAAAATGCAAGGCTCTTGGCCCTGTACCTAGTTCCAAAAACAAGGCCCAGGTTATATTTAGAGGGTTCAGGGGCCCCAGGTGTTGTAGGAAAAGGGTGACGGCAAACAGGAAGGTCCCTTTGCTCTCATACAGCAGGTCTGCACGCAGGACCCGGCTTGGCTGGTTTAAGTTAGTAACAAATCGAGGGTCTGCCCACATTTTGGCTTCCCTCCCCTGCCACCCTGGAATCATTTCTCAGTTGGCTCAGATGAAGGACTTCCAGCTAGGGAGGATACTAGGGGCAAAGGCCTAAGGGACAACATAAACTTGGTACACTTTTGCTGCCCAGCTTAGGCCACCACCTGCTGGTCACTTGGGCTCTAGCATGTGGCTTCCTCTGCTGCTGGGTGCCTTGGTCTGGGGAGTGCTGTGGTTGCTCCGGGACCAGCAGACCCTGCCCCGCAGCGATGCCTTCATCTTCATCACTGGCTGTGACTCGGGCTTCGGGCGGCTTCTGGCACTACGACTGGACCAGCAGGGCTTCCGTGTCCTGGCCAGCTGCCTGACCCCTGCAGGGGCTGAGGACCTACAGCGGATGGCCTCCTCCCGCCTTCACACCATCCTGCTGGATGTCACTGATCCCCAGAGTGTCCAGTGGGCAGCCAAGTGGGTGAAGACACAGGTTGGGGAAGCAGGTGAGTATGACTGGGGCCACCAGGAACGTGGTGTGGGTGCTTCTTCTGATCCCTAGCGTGGCCCCAGGAGGGTCACTTGCAAGGGAGATGGGAAGCTTCCAGCTTGTACTAGTTGGGGGCAAAGCAGGGCTCAGGTCCTCCCAGGAAGGAGACAGGCTGGTGGAGCGTCTTACCCACCCTATGTCATCTCATCTCTCCGCAGGGCTGTTTGGTCTGGTGAACAATGCTGGTGTGGCTGGTATCATTGGGCCTACACCATGGCTGACATGGGATGATTTCCACCGGGTGCTGAGTGTGAACACCCTGGGTCCCATCGGGGTCACCCTTGCCCTACTGCCCCTGTTGCAAGAGGCCCATGGCCGGGTAGTCAACGTCACCAGTGTCCTGGGTCGCCTGGCAGCCAATGGCGGCGGCTACTGTGTCTCTAAGTTTGGCCTGGAGGCCTTCTCTGACAGCCTAAGGTGAGGGGTGCGGGGCTCCGGGCTCCAAACCCAAGGGCGGCCCACTCAACAATTAAGTGTCTGCTAGTGTGGGCCAGCAGAGATTGAGTAATGCTTACAAGCAGACAGTTTAGGGCTAGACTTCATGGGTTCAAATCTCAACTTTCCTCTCGTGAGAGCTTTGTGACCTTACACAGATTACTTTTCTTTTCCCATCTTTTTCCTCATCTGCAAAATGGGGATGAGAAAACCTGCCTCATGGGTATTATGAATTAAATGAGCTTTGTATAAGGCCCTTAGAACAGTGCCTGGCACACAGTAAATGCTCCAAAAAAGCCTAGTATTATTACTAGTGGGGAGACAAGCTACCGTTAATAACAGTGATTTCTTATGGTGAGCTAGTGGCTTGAAGTAACATTCTCTCATTTAATTCTCCCAACAGGTATTAATACTCTTCAAACCAAACCAAACCCATTGCCATCGGGTCAATTCTGACTCATAGCAATCCTACAGGACAGAGTAGAACTGCCCCATAGGGTTTCTAAGGCTGTAATCTCACAGAAGCAGACGGCCACATCTTTCTCCCCTGGAGTGGCTAGTGGGTTCAAACTGCCAGCCTTTCACTTAGCTTAACCACTGCGCCACCAGGGCACCTTATTAATACCCTTACGGTAACATAACTTATCCAATGCCATACAACTAGTGCCTGGGACTTACACTTGGGTCTGCTTGCCTATAGAGCCTCGTCATTATGTTCTCCTGCCCCTCCTCTTTAAAAAATAATCTTCTCCCCTCCCCCCACCAAAAAAGTTCCAAGTTCCATGGGAGCGCAAAGGAGATCCCTGTGGGGATCATTAAAGCATGACATGGGAACAGGGCCTGAATTTTGAGCAGAAGTCACCCAAGCTGAGCCCACCTTCTTAATGAAGGATGCCTCTGTCCCCATCACTCAGCGAATAATTTCAGTGTCTACATTTGTCCCTATCCCTCAGGTTTTAACTTTCCAGTCAGCATCATAGAACACATATTTTATACTTGGATTTCTGCATCTGTGCCAGGGTAGGGGGATGTGTCTCCACTGTCCCCATCAGATTACCCCCTAGCAAATACCACAGTCTACACCCTTCATATCCAGCACCCAGGACTTAACCATGTGTTTGGGAAGCTAGGGCACAGGGTTCCTCTAGATGGGGAGTTGGCAGATTCAGCCAGCCACCTGTATTTTTACAGCCCACAAGCTAAGAATAGTTTTACACTTTTAAATGTTTACACTGTAAATAGTTCCGTAAGTACCTACATAATATCCTTAACTTTGTTTCTAAGTCTACAGTGCCTAAAATGTTAACTGTCTAGCCCTTTAAGAAAATGTGTTCATCACTCTTCTAGATCATAGAAGAAAATAAAGGAAAACAACCCTCAAAAAATACCTCCCTCTGTCCCATTTTCTCCTACTCCCAGCGTAGCAGGGAGGGACCTCCTTCACTGTCAAGACCCAGCAGCTTAGCTTGCCCTCCCCATAAGACAAGAACCCAGAATCCCTCTCTGTACCCCCATCCAGGCGGGACATGGCTCCTTTTGGTGTAAGGGTCTCCATCGTGGAGCCTGGCTTCTTCCGAACCCCCGTGACCAACCTGGAGAGTTTGGAGGGTGCCCTGCAGGCCTGCTGGGCGCGGCTTCCTTCTGCCATGCAAGCCCAGTATGGAGAGGCCTTCCTCACTAAGTGTGAGTAGCTGGGCCCACGCAGGGTTGTATGAAGGGAAGTGAGAGTGCCAGGAAGGCCAGCCCACACCAGCCTGCTGGGAAGAGTTGGGCAGGGCAGCTGGGGAGGGGAAGGGTAAATGGGATGTCACAGTGAAGCACCCAGCCCGTGTGGAGCCTGCCCACTCCCCAAGCTGGGAGGGGGAACTAAGAAGCCCTCCACCTCCACTGAGCAGCACCCAGAAGACAGGGTCTGACATGGGCTGGAATAGGGGAAGGACACTGATTTCAACCACCCCACCGGGCTGCAGACCTGAAAGTACAGCAGTGTATCATGAACCTGCTCTGTGACCCGGACCTGACCAAGGTGAGCAGGTGCCTGGAGCATGCCCTGACTGCCCGTCACCCCCGAACCCGCTACAGCCCAGGCTGGGATGCCAAGCTGCTCTGGCTGCCAGCCTCCTACCTACCAGCCAGCCTGGTGGATGCTGTGCTCACCTGGGTCCTTCCCAAGCCTGCCCAGGCAGTCTCCTGAATCCAGCCTTCCAGCAAGAGATTGTTCTGTAAGAGCCAAGACTCTGTCTGACTTATTTCTGCCGCTGCCCTGGAACTGCCTGGTGCCAGGCACACAGTAGGCACCCGATAAATGTGTATTGTTTCAACAAACAAAAACAAAAAAAAATAGGTGAGAAGAAGTGAAAGACTGACCCCATTTAACTGCTAACCTCCCTAACCTGACTTCCCCAAGGCCACGGGCCTGTTCCGCCGGCAAAACAACTAGTACCCACTGCGGAGCGCGATGGGACTGTTCGCATCTACAGACGTCCTCTGCAACTACCCCTGGAGTGGCCACCAGAGGGCACTTTTGAACATTTCCTTTATTTCCTACTTCAGTAACGTTGCAGTTCAGGGTTTGGAATGGGAATGATTTTATCTGTTTTTCTTCTGGGTGGAAGGGGAGTGGGGAGCTGAAGAGGGCTCAGGGCCAGGCTAGGTAGCTTTCATAGAAGAAAAAGCAGCATTCACTTAAATTCTCCCACTATCACAATCTAAGTCAAGGATGGACACTAACCACACAAGTGTCAGGAAATACTTAACATCCTAAAAGGAGCCACACCCCCTTGAGGATTGCTGGGGGAGGGGGGTTGCTGGGCCCTGAGGGGTGGCCAGAGGCCAGGCAGAAGATGTCCTAAGTAGATGTGGGCTGGGCTCTCCTAGGCCGGACCTTTTTGGGGACTCCCTTTGACTTACGCAGGAGATGGCTTTCTGAATGTTTCAGTACTGAGTCTGGTGGCACAAACCTAGGTGGACAGGGAGGGCACTGGGCTACAGCCTCCTCCAGGTCCCCACTTCTTCCATTGCCAGCCCATCCAATGCCTTCAGCAAACAGCCTCTTCTCCCAAACATTCCCTAAAATAGGCCTGCTGCTTCCCACAAAGTCCCAGAGGACAGGGAATATGGATGAGGGGATGGATGGGATTAAGTACCACTCTTGAAGACAAACTATCTTTTCAGTCTGAAAAAATAATCCGTTTAATTGAAAAACCTGGGGTATACTACCCCACTCCCCTAGATAAGGGGGGCTGAGGAGACCAGACCCCCTACATCACCTCGTAGCCACTTCGGATACTCTTCACGAGGCAACAGGCAAAGATAATTCCCAGGACCTGGAAGGAAAGATGATGGAGAGGCAGGTGGAGAGGATTCAGGACAAGATACCCCAGATGTAGCCAAAGGGCCTCAGACACACCTAGGGTTCCCCTCCCCAGGCCAATACCACCTGATCACACCCTCCTCTGCAGATGCCCTGGATGGAGTCCCAGCCCCTGCCCAAGTCACCACTCACCTCCACAAAGGCAATGCCCAGGGCTGCTGCAGCCACCACCAGCACACTGCTCCTCAGCCAGCCCCCAATCTTCTCCACACAGCCCTGAAGGGTAGCAGGCACAAAGGCAAGAGCACCATCAGAAATCTCCCACCCACCTCCCCTGGTCCATCTGTTTCTTCCCCAGCCTCTGTTCCTTTCCCCACACCCCTAGCGTTCCAGATCCCCTCCCCATCCCTGACACCAACTCCCCAGAGCGTCACCCGTCTACCTCCATCCCTGATCACTCACCTGAAACATTTCCCAGGTTTCCCAAGTCCCTACTATTTCAGTCTTCTCCCTACCTTGGTATTGATATTCGTCACGTTGAAATGAAGCCCACAGCTCTGAGTGACATTGATGCAGCAGGAGTCTGGAACTCTGTCTTTGGGCACTAGAATGTTCTCCCAGTCCGTGTAGTTATCAGCCCCACAGCACTTAAACTGGAGAAGAGAATAGATGAGGGAGAAGTTGTTAAGCGCGCCTCCACCTTCAGGGTGGAGATGAGAATCCTCTCACCCCACCCACTGCCCCTGCTCCCAACAACCCCACTCACGTCTCGCTGCATCCCGTCCAGGAGCAAAGCCGTTTGGTTGTCTTTCGGGTATGTCTGCATCTGCTTCTGGAAATCCTTCTTGAACTCTGAGATCACCTGGAAATGCAGAGGAGCACTGTTGAGGTCAGAATTCAGGGCACCTGGATCCTAGAGCAGCCAGGCCTCAGAGGCAAGTCCGTCCCTTACTCTCTGCTTACCTTGTCTCTAAACACATAGCCAGCAATGGCTGTGGCCACCTCCACCAGCATGATAAGAGACAGGAAGACAGCGAACTGCAGGCACAAGGGACAGGAGTCAGTTTGAGGTCTATGAGTAATGGGCACCAGCCCAGTCCCTGGAATACTCACAACAATTGTCTTCCACCTCACCCACCCTCCTCAGCCCCTTCCAAAGAAATGGCCCTTCCAACAGTACCAGGCATCCATGCTGGCCCCATACCCCACTCACCGTAATCATAAGACAGTAGTTCTCCTTGCAGGCCCCGCAGCAGCCCACAAGAGCCACCAGGAAGAGGAAGGCACCCACTGCAATGATGACCACAGGCAACAGGGCGCCAGGGGTGGCCCCTTGGTTAACAGTCTGACTCAGGACGAGCTGCGCCCCCACACCCACAGCGATCAGTCCCACTGCACAGGCCTGAGAGGAGGGTAGGTCAGGGTTAGGCCAGACCCATACCCCAGCAGCCCTCCCAGGTGGAGAGCAGAGGGTACACCCCAGACAGACTTGACCTCATGCAACCCCAGTTTGACTGTGGAGGGGCGGCCCATCTTGCCCCACAGTGAAGGCTGAGGAGTTGTTCAAGGCATTCTAGGAACAGTGAGTCAGGAGCCATCCCTTCCTTCAAGCAGCTCTTCTACCACAGGTTGCAAAAAGAGGTGCCCAGAAAGCCCCAGGGCACACATTCCTGATTAGAAGCTGGTGATTTCCTACCTGCCTTCAAGGTTCCTAATTTGGTCCTTTCCTGGAACTGCCCCCTCACTATCCTCCAGTGCCCACCCCAGCCCTATCAGCTGTGGCTGAGAGGAGCAAAGAGGCAAAGGTGGTGTGCCCCTCCCTGAACAAACAATAACCTCTCAAGCCAGGAGCAAGCTGAGGTGGGCAGAGTCCTCCTATCCCCAAGCAGCCAAGAGGAATGACTGGGGAATGAGGAGATGGAGAGGGATGAAGGAATGGGGACGGGGAGTGTAGAGAAGCCCTAAGGCGATAGCATCAGGCCGCCGTTGGCTGGTTGCCCCACTGCCCAGTATCACAAGTGGTTGGGTCACCAGACAGGAAGTACCACGGGAGATTAGGCGGGGGGCGCTGCACACCCAGGCTGGCCATTCTCGGTCCAAACAAGCCTCAGAGATCCCCAAAAGCTGGAGGAAGGGGTGACAGCGCTGTCTTCGGCCCGTTCCCGAAGCTTTCCTTGCACATCTGGTCTACAGCTGCCTTCATTCTTGGCCCCTCAGCCCTCACCACTCTGGAGCCAGGTCTCCCCGCACCCTGCTAACGCGCCCCAGCGCGCCCCTAGAGCCCCACCTCCGCCCCCTCCTCTCCACTCACGCAAAAGGCCAGCAGAAAAACGTAGAGCAAGAACTTGATACATTTCATCCCTCCTTCCACCGCCATGGCTGCCGGCCCTGGGGCAAAGGGAGAGCGTGGGGTTAGAAGCAGCCAAGGGGGCCTTTGGTTTCCGGACTCCTGGCCGGCCCTCAAGGCCTTCCCAGCCAGGCCCCCATTCCCGGCCCCTCCCACCCGGAAGCCCGCGGTCGGAGCCAAGTCTCCCAGCCCCCTCTCCTCCGCGGCACCCGGGAAGGGGGCGGCCGCCGCCAAGCCAGGACCGTGCCT